AGTTGACGATCGTGCTCCCCAAGGACGCCGACAAGGTCTCGAAGGACAAGGGCGTGAACACGCTCGTGGCCGCCTTTGACAACTACGACCAAGGCTTCTGGCATCAGTGTGTCCACTGGGACCGCGAAGGCGCGAGCCACATCGGCGGTAGGACCAAGCGACAGTGGACCGCCACGGACGTCCAGTGGCCGCTGGCCCGGTGCATCATGGCCGCGGAGCACGGATTGTCGCCCACGGCCATCTCCGAGCACCTCGGGCTGCCGCGCAGACCAGAAAAGGACGAGCCGCACAGCTTGGAGCTTCTCATCCGGCTTAAGACGCGGCGTGGCTGCAGGCAGAGCGACACGAGGGCAGTCGTGGCCACGATGGTCGTGCCGCACGACGCGTCGTGCTGCAGCATGCTCGACTGGATGCATGAGCTCGACGACTCGCTTGAGAGCTACTGCTACCTCAACGTGCAGCACCAAGGCCTCAAGATGCTGGGCGTGAGCTCTCACGGGGTCCGCAGAGACCCGAGCGACTGCGGGGCCACAGAGCAGGAGGCCGCACTGCCGCACTCGCTGTGCGTGAGGGTTTGGGCCATCCAGGCTGCTGACTACGACGTCGGGTACGGCAGCGGCTACGACAGCGGCGGCGGCGAGGAGATGCACCAGGACGCAGCTGGGTTCCGCAAGTGCGAGGTACTCGGCTCCCGCGAGGCACTGATGCGCAAGGCGATGGCGCGCCTGCGGGCCGACGAGGACCTCTTCGACGGCGAGAGCCCGTACCGAGCGGAGGAGGGCAACGCCCCGCCGAAGCACATCGACGTCAAGTTCCACTGCGCCATCGCGGACGTGCTGCCGCTGCCCGAGGATGTGCGCCCGACTATGCAGGTGATGCGTTCGCGCCTCGCCGAACCCCGTAGCAGTCGCCCACACGTGGGTGACTGCTTTTTGTGCACGCGCGCGCGCCACAGGAGTACGCGGCTAATACGATGCGCTACGGATGCAGCTTTGGCTGGACGGCCGAGATGGAATGGAACCACTCGGAGAACGAGTACGAGGCCTCGGCAGTGCGTCGGCTGCCCAGGTGCGGACCCGCCCTGCCTTCGACCATGCCGGCGTGCGTCACATCGCTGATCCGCGAGACGCTCGTGCGTGGCGCAGGCTGCGCGACGAGCAGTACCCCGTCATTACCAAGATCCGGTCGGTCCCACACGCGTACCTCTGACGCCCCCTCCATAGGCCCAGCCACACTTTGTGCAGCAAACGCACTCACCCGTCGAGTACGCGAGACCCTGATTGCCCCTACACAGACATTGGGAGAGGCGGTCCCGACCGCCTCGAGAGCGGTACAGCCGTAAGTAAGGTTGGTCATAGCTCGTAGTGTTGCGAGTACATGTAGAGCCGTAGGTGACTCATGAGCGTGATGAAAGGTTGGTCCCGTCTCGCGCTTTTTTGCGATTTCAGCACCGTCCACTCACTCACCGCTCCTCTGTACGTGCTCTGCTCGAAGTGGCAGTGCCACCGGCCAAGTGAGGCAAGTGGCACGGGTACAGTACGTAGAACGTACGGGTCCGAGGTCTCATGTGTGCTACGGGGCCGAGCGTTTTTGATCTCTGGGTCAGTGGGCGCCCGCCCGCCGCCTCTGAGGGGGTCGGGCCCCCTAGACTGAAAACAAAAACAAAATCTAGAAACGTCAAAAACAGCCTGCGAGCGCGGCGCTGCGCGCCGCCTTACCTCGTGCGGGTGTGAGTGACCCCAAACGGCATCCAAAACATGTAATTCGGCGACCAAAAGCGGCGATGGGCACGCACCCGCGCAGCGCCGGCTTTGAGCCACGCGCCTCGATCTTCAGAGGCGCGTGCCCCTTCCGGCATGGCGCCGAAGGTGCCCGTCGTTGTTCGCGTCGAGCTTGGCAAGAAGCATCACCAATCGGGCCGCATGCACGAGGCGGAGGTGGCTCTCTCCCTGGGCAGTCGGGGTACTACGCCATCGAGGCGACGACTCTCGGCACGACGGGGATCATCACGATGGGTGGCGCCGTCGAGGTGGGTCGCTTCGAGGTGCCGATCGCCTCGCACCTGGTGGGAGGCATCTCCGACAGCATCCCTCGCAAGCTGGAGCGCCAGCTCGCTGCGCTACTGGACGGCGCGCTGAGTGACAACCCCCAGAGCGCGGCGCGCGGGGACCTGGCGCGCCGCATCATCGAGCCGTTCGCGGGGGAGGTGGCTCACGCGATGCGCAGGGCGTTCGACCAGGAGCCGACGGCACCGTGGACCAAGAGCGCCATCACGCAGTCGCGCCCGCAGTCGGCGTCGAGCGAGGCGAGCATCGCCCCCTCCCTCAGCTCACTGCGGCACTTCGCGCCCGACGCGAAGGCGGAGCCCGAGCCCGCCGAGCCGGCGGCCCACGGCGACTACCCCGGGGACGCGCCGGCCCCGCCCGCTTCAGACGGGGGTGACCCGACAGCGCCGCAGCCACGGACGAGCCCCGCATGGGCGGGCGAGCTCGACCGTGGCGAGGGCACTGTCCTGGTTGGCCCGTCCGTGGGGCCAACGCGACAGGCCCGGATGTGCCGCCTGGACCTCAACCAGGACTCCAACCAGTTCATGTTCGAGTTCGAGACCCAACGCGTACCTGTGTCTCACAACGGCAAGGAGCTCAACGCCTACATCCACCTCGACACCTCAGACAAGTTCTTCGCGTTCTGCATGTTGTGGACGGGAGCGGGGACCCGCGTCCCGGTCGTCTCCCAGTTCGCGGCGAACAGGAGCATGTGGCGGGCGGCCGGGGCCTTGCGTACCAAGGAGGACCTCGACGTCGGGCGAAACGCGTCGGAGAAGATTCTGAAGCTCCTCCAGGGCATGAAGGCCAGCTACACGGCCGCAGCGTGGAGGGCGGTGCGTGACCAGGTCCTCATACTCATGCTGAAGGGCATGAACGTGTACGAGAATCCGGCGGAGTTCTTCACCATCTTCGCGCACAAGCTGTTCGAGACGGCGAGCGACGCCAAGCGGCACATCAACTTCAACTTGGTCAGCAGCCCCGACGGCTTCCTCAAGCTGCTCCAGGTGTTATGCCCGCCGTCGACGACGTCCCGCCGCCCCGGAGGCGCGTCGTCCCCGAGCAGACGGGCCCGAACCGTTACCAAGAGCCTCAAGGTGGCAGCTGCACGGCCGCCGGCGACTTCACCTGCCGGCGTTGGACGCAGGCGTGGGCGGCACAAGCGGGGTCGGACGGGCCTGTCCGCGAGTACCAATCCACGCACGCGAACGGGCACTGCTTCCTGGTCGGCCCGTCTCGCCTCCTCGCGAGCAAGGACACCCCGGGTGACGGGCTATACTACGCGGGCTCCACGGGGGGCGACCTCGACCTGCACGCCGGTGACTTCCTCGGGCACATTGAGGGCGTCACCCTGGACGAAGTCGAGACGGAATGCAGCTGGCAGCACGCGTGCGACGAGATGCTGCGTCGCGGCGGACGCGACGGGCGTGCACCGAATGCGTTCTGCATCATCATACGCCGCCGGGGTTGGTCCGACACGGACAAAGCGGCCGCCCCAGGCTGGCGCCTCGTCGATATGCACGGGCAAGGACGCAGCACAGAGCATCCCGCCTCCCCCTTCGCCTTCGCGAACAGCACGTCAGGGCTGGGCGTGCGGGCCAGGCTCACGGTCGACTTCAAGGGCCGCGTGTTTGCCACCCCCACCTCCGCGGGGATCGGGGGTGCCCCGACCTTGACCGGCAGCAGGGTGGCGCTGACCGAGGCGACGGAGCTGGTGTGGGACTACGAGCTCCCGGGCGGCCTGCCCGGCGACTCGCCGTGGGTGCCAGGCCCCCCGAACACGGACCCCGACGAGGCCCCGGGCGATCGCGACCCGCAGCCCAGCCGCCCGGGCACGGGCGAGGCGAGCGACGCCCACGGCAACGAGCCGGGGCGCAACTCGCGCGACGCCGGCGGCGACGCACTTGAGGACGCGCCCGAGGGCACCCGCGCCGAAGGCCCACGGGGCGACGTCGCCGACGTCCGCGCGGCGCATCACGGGCACGCGCACATCCGCCACATGCGCGACCATGCGGAGACCGACGACCTCCTCGCGCCGCGCAGCCATGCGCGTTGGGTGCCCTCCCGAGCGCCCCTGACGCCAGCTGCCTTGGGCGGCGGCGTCCAGGCGGGCGCCGCGCCCGGGGTGCGTGCCCTCCGCACGCGCAGGCCCCCGGCGCTGCACGACACGTACAAGTACGCCGCACGGCGTGGCGCACCGACCCCACCGCAGCGGGCTGTGGGGGAGGGAGCAGACACGGATGGTGGTCTTCCCTCAGACAAGGGAGATCGCTACGTCGCCCTGGACGGCACGTCCCACAGGCCCGAGAGGCGGGCGGACCACACCGAGCTCGCAGAGATGCCAGCGGAGTTCGAGCGCACCCGCGCGCAGGTCCGAGCCCTGCGGGACAAGGCATGGGCACGAGCCCTCGAGCAGAGGGCAAGCGACCTCTTCGACGAGATGGAGAGCGACACCGAGCACCACGAGCTCTCCGTCATCGCCGCCGCCCTGGCGGCGGCGGCGGCCCGCCAGCGGGCCGCCGCCGGGGACGTTGGGGACCCCGCCGCAAACCCCGTGCACCACCCTTCCAGCGGGCGAGTCACCTGGCCCCGCGCGGCCGAGCAATCAGCGCCTTTGAGCGCGGCCGCGCGCACCGCCAGCAGGGAGACCGGCGGGCCGCTCTACGGCGCGGCGACCCCCGGTGGCGGCGGCCGACCTCACCCTCACCCCGAGGCCGGCCCCCGCCGTGCGCCTCCCGCACCCCTCGGGCCTCAGTGCCACCATTCCGGCAACCCGCCCCGCGACACGCGTGCTAGTACTATCACCGGCACACCACCGGAGCCGCCTAAGCGACTCCGTTAAGAACGGCAATGCACTTAGCACCGTGCACAATGCCGTAAGAAAGAATTTAAACAACACAACTCTCTCTCACAGCACACAGGTAAGAAAGAAGACGGACATTGGAAGGGAGCCTGCTCAGAGCTGTGGATCGCTGTGCCCACGAAAGTCGTGCGCACGCCGCGCTAAAGCTTAACGCTCGCATGCCGCCCCGCTCTCGCACGCCCTCCTCCAAGAAGCCCGCCGCCGCGGCGACGACTGCGGAGCGGTCTCGCCGCCGCGGGGCTGTGACGAAGCCCTCCTGCCGGCAGCGAAAGCTCACCTTTGAGAGCGCCCCCGCGGAGGACGCCCATGTTGAGACCGTGCCCGACGTCGCGTCCTCCGATACCGAGGAGGAGGACCGTTCCGAGGCGGCGGCGGCCGCCGCCGCCGCCGCCGCCCTGCCGCCGCTGACCGCGGCCGAGGAGAAAGAGCTCAAGGCGTTTGACCTGGACTCGACCTTCGGGCCCTGCCTCGGCCTCACGCGTCTCGAGCGGTTCCTGCGCGCGGAGAAGCTCCAGATCAACCCGCCGCCGTCTGTGCGCGAGATCCTCCACCGCGTCCACCCGACCAGCCCCAGTGCGCAGGCAATCCTGAGCGGAAAGCCCGGCGTCGTGTGTTGACGGGCCGCGGCCAGGCACTGAGTGCCACAAGGAAGTGGAGTGGGGGGCGGGCGCCCATAGGGGCGCCCCCTGCGTCGGGCCGCGAAGCCCCTGTCTCGTGTTATTGTTTATCAAGGTCAGCTGGGAAGAAATGCGGGTCCGCGCTCTCGGGACTCGGCGAGCCTCGTACTACGTACATCACGGACTCCAAACCACGCCCCAAACCGGCAGCACGCGACCTCACCTTGAGCTCGACCTTGTAGGGGGGGGGAGTCGGTTTTATTATTTCTGTGTTAGCGTGCCATTTCGGGTGTGTGAAAAGTCTTCTTTCTGGCGGCCATGAGCGCTTGCAGCCCAACCCGCCTCGCCGACCTGGCTCGGGGCGACCTGGCCTGGCTGCGCGCCTTCCTCTCCGGGCAGGGGACGCGCGGCACGTCGCTCGCGGCCCAGCTCGACGCGCGGCTCGACACCGAGAGGCAGGACACGCTGCTGACGTGGGCCGCTCGGCACGGGCAAGCCGAGGCGGTGCAGCTGCTGCTCGAGGGCGGCGCGAGCGTGGGGGCGACGACTGGCGGCGGCGCTTCAGCGCTGCTCGTCGCGAGCGACAAGGGCCACCTCGAGTGCGCCCGGCTGCTCCTCGAGGTTGGCGCGGCGACCGACCAAGCGATGAACGATGGCACCACGCCGCTGTTCATGGCGTGCCAGGAAGGCCACGTCGAGATTTCCCAGCTGCTGCGCGACGCTGGCGCGGCGGTCAACCAAGCCCGCAACGGAGGCTTCTCGCCGCTGTACATCGCGAGCCAGCAGGGCCAGCTCGAGTGCGTCCGGCTGCTTCTCGAGGCCGGCGCGGCGGTCAACCAAGCGGCGGGTGGAGGCTTCTCGCCGCTGTTCATCGCGTGCCAGAACGGCCACCTCGAGTGCGCCCGGCTGCTGCGCGACGCTGGCGCTGACATCAACCAAGCCCGCAACGATGGTACCACGCCGCTGCACATGGCGTGCCTGAAGGGCCACCTCGAGGTCGCCCGGCTGCTGCGCGACGCTGGCGCGGCGGTCGACCAAGCTTCTGACAGAGGCTTCTCGCCGCTGTTTTTTGCGTGTCAGAACGGCCACCTCGAGTGCGTCCGGCTGCTCCTCGAGGCCGGCGCAGCGGTCAACCAAGCCAAGCAGGATGGCGGCACGCCGCTGTACATGGCGTGCCACCAGGGCCACCTCGAGGTCGCCAAGCTCCTCTCCTCCTACGGCGCCTCCCGCGCCTCAACGCCCTTCGGCACGCCCGAGCAGGCCGCAAATCGCGAAGGCCACGCCGACCTCGCCGCCTGGCTGGTCGCCAGCCGCGGCTGGACGCCGCTCCAGCACCTTGAGGCGTTTCCAAGAGTAGCGGCCGAAGGCGTGAGCGCGCTGTCCTCACGCCCATTGCCCCTCTTCCGCAGGCGCTCACCGTCGACCGGGCGCGGTCGCTGCTGCGCGGCGGCGCGGACCCCCTCGCCGGCGCGCCTTCTGCCCTCGACCGGGCGCGCGTCCTCTGCTCGTGGAGCGAGTCGGACCCGACCGTTGCGGCCGTCGGTTCCACAGTCGAAATCCGCTCTCTCGTCTCGCGGCCCTCGATGAACGGCAAGGTCGGCGTCGTCGTCTCCGCAAACGCTTCGACGGGCCGCTTCGGCGTGCGCGTGGCGGGCGAGGCCAAGGCGCTTGCGCTCAGGCGCGCAAGGCAATGGTCTCCCCAACTCGCCGGATCCTCTCTTTGACACACCTCTGCCCTCCCTCAGGCCGGCCAACCTGCAGCCAGCGGCCGAGGCGGTGGAGGTGGGCAGGCTCATCCTCAAGGCGACGGAGTGGTCGCCGCAGTCTCACGAGCTCTTCCCGGAGCCGGCTCGCAAGTGGGCGGTCGAGGTGATGCGGCTGGGCTACCTGATCGCGTGGGACGAGGAGCGCTTCGACAGCCGCGAGGGAGCGGCTCCAGAGCTGGCTGACGTCTGGCGCGGCTTTGTGCTGCCAAGGGTGGTGGCGCGATGACTCACTCGATCCGCACGGGGTTTTCAGTGAGAGGGCCAAACCCCCAGCAGGGGTCTTGCCGTTGCCCCTGTGCGGTCGCGTCTATTTGAACATGGAAGGTCCTTTCTTTTCTCTCGGTGCGCGGGTCGCCGCCGATTTTTCTTCTTTTTTCCCGTCCCACCCCTCCCCCGTACCTGTGTGTTAGTGCCATCCTGTTTCGTCGCAAATTCTTTTTTTACTGTGCGCGGCGCTTCACCTCCGCCTCGACGTATTGCCGCATCGCCGCGAGCAGTTTGCGTCTCGTCTCCGCGTCGCGCGGCTCCGAGTAGATGAGGTTGACGGCACGCTCGAGCGCCCGAATGCCGCACGCCTCGCGGTTGAGGCAGGTCCTGATGTTGACCTGTCCACAAATGAAGGTGTGAAGAGACGCTGCTCACGCGCCTCAGGCCAGCTCTGAGGCGGCCGTCCGAAACTGCGTGGCAAAAAACATGGCTTGCTGCGAGAGCATTCCAAAGGAGGACATCTTCGACTCGCCGCCGCGCGTCGCGGCCATCAAGGCGCGGGTCGACCCCGTCACCGACGCTGCTCCGTCTGTCCGCGCTGCCGGCACCCGCGACGATCTCGGCGCCTCTGTCGACTCGCTGCTGCCGGCTATGGCGTCCATCGGGCTCGGCGAGGCAGATTCTCCGGAGGCCGTGCCTCCGCTTTGCGCCGCGCCTGCAGACGCCTCGCCGATGGAACAGCCGCAGGCCACGTCTCCCGACCCCTCGCGACCCGCGTTCAAGAGGCCGGGCTTGTCGGCAGCGGCAGCCCCGGTTGACGCGGGCCCGATGCAGACGGTTCCGACGCCGTCAAAGACGCCGGGCTCGCCCTGTGCCTCGGCCCGCCCGCACGATGACAACGCGATGGACGACGCGTCGCTCCTTCAAGCCGCGGCAGAGCCGCTGCCGGCAGCAGATGCTGACGCAATGCAGATCGACTGCCCTGATCTCAGCCAGTCGACGGGCGGGAGGGCCCTGATTGAGCGAGAGAGTCCCTCGGCCATCCTTCCCGACCCGGTCCCAGCAAAGGCCTGCTCGACGTTGGAGCACGGCATCGGCGGCGGTGGCGGTGACGGCGCCGGCGACACGGCGATGCAGCGGACCCCGCGCAAGGCAGCGCCGCCTGCTCGCTTGGGCGATGGCGACGACTGGTCCTCGAGACCGGCGTCAAAGTGGGTCCCCCCTACGGAGCCACCGAGGAAGCCGGTCGAGTGCATGGCCGAGGCGGCATCCGTCGAGGGGAGGAATCAAAAGCTGAAATTCGCCGCGTTCTGGGCAAACCTGAAGGCGCTCGGCTGGACCTACGCAAAGGGCTCGGGCCTGCAGGAGCCCTTCGTGTTTCTGAAGCCCGGCGTGAAGAAGAAGTCGGGCCGGCTCGGAGTCACGATGTTCAACGGCGAGGCGCATCTGGAGGAGTACATTGACGCAAGTGGCTACGCGCAGCTGGTCGACCGTGAGGCCGCCTCATCCGGGGTGCCGGATCCCGCCAAGCCCGGGCTCGAGGCGTCCGCGGGCTCGAGGCCTCCTCGGGGGCCTCCTGTGCGGCGACTGGATCTGTCCGGCGAAGCGCCGGAGCGGTCGCCCTCCGAGGGGGAGGCGCAAGTGCTGGCCCCCAACGCCGCTGCTCCTGAGCCAGCCGCTGTGGCCGCCACCGCCTCCGCCGCACGCACGGGCTTCGAGAAGATCAACGCCGGCTGCCTCGAATGGTTCGTGCCTCTCGCCCCGGCCGACGCTGCAGCCCTCGCGACAGAGCCAGAGAGGGGCGAGGCCGAGCGGCAGCGCCTCTCGGCCGGCCCTCCGAGGGGCAGGCCTCCGCACGAGGAGGAGGGCCCCGGGACGCCTCCCGGCACGCCGCCGCCGGAGGAGGAGCAGGAGCAGTGGCTGCTGACGGGCCACCACCACCTCGGCCGGCGGATCGCGCGCTCGTTTGGCGAGGACGAGCCGACGTTCGGTCGCGCCCCCACCGCCCGCGCGGCTCCGCCGCTTCCCAGTGCAGCCCGAGGTGCGCGGACCTCACCCCAGCCCTCCCCTCCCCCCTCCTTCGCTCTGCTAGGCCGCGTCACGCGCTGGCTACCGGCGGACGAGGCGAGCGGCGAGCCGGCGCTCTTCCACTGCGTGCACGACGACGGCGAGAGAGGGGCGCCGGCGGTCGGTGGGGCGAGGCACACCTCGGCCGCACCCCCCGCCCCCGCCCGCGGCGTGTAGGCGACGAGGAGGACCTCGATGAGGAGGAGGTGCTGGCCGCGCTGCAGACAGCGGAGGCAGCGGCGATGGAGGTGGAGAGGCAGGCGGAGGGCGAGGCCGAGGGCAGCGCTGAGGACGCTGCGGCGGGCCCGGCGGGCCCGGCGCGTCGCCTCTCCGACGACGACGACGACGACGACGACGACGACGCCGAGCTCGCGGCCATCGCCGCCGGATTGCCGGAGCCTCCCCTACAGCTGGGCCGGCGTCTGGGCGAGGGGGTGGCGGGTATGCTCAGCCCGACAGCGCCGGTGCTCCGTTTCGGTGGGCCGAGCGCCAACGCTGCCTCCGCTGCCGACGCACCGCCGCGCCAGCCGCGGCGGAGGTACATCAACTACGGCGCCGCCGCCACGCCGCCACCGCCGCCGAAGCCGAGGGCGGAGGCGGAGGAGGCTGCGGGCGGGGGCGGGACGGCCGACCCCGACGAAGCGCTCACTCTCGACGCGCTGCTGAAGCGCCACCGGGAGGAGCGCGGCCGGCTGGGACCCCCCCCCCCCCCCCTCCCCCCCTTCGCATCACCCCCCCCCCCCCTCTCCTTGCAGCTCCATACGGCCGGCACGTTCGACGTCGAGGCGGAGGAGGCGGAGCTGGTCGAGGAGGGCGCGGTGAGCTATGGGGAGATATGGGGAGATATGGGGAGATATGGGGAGGGCGCGGTGAGCTATGGGGAGATATGGGGAGATATGGGGAGGGCGCGGTGAGCTATGGGGAGAGATGGGGAGATATGGGGAGATATGGGGAGACATGAGGAGGGCGCGGTGAGCTCCGACCCTCTGCTGTCCGAGATGACCCCGATAGAGGTTCGTAGGGTAAGGTAAGGTCCGAGATGGCCCCCATAGGTTACCCGAGAGGACCCGAGAGGACCCGAGAGG